ACACTACGAGTCCCAGACCTAGCAGCTTGCTTTCTCACTTTCCTTCTCTCTCTCTCACTCTCACTCTGTCCCTCTCTGGTCAAATTTAAATAAATAAATAAATATCGTTAAATAAAATAATTATTTTTAAAAAAGAAAAAGGTGGAAAGAAAACGTTTTCTGACCATCAGTGTTAATAAGAGGATTTTACTGTATGCAATACAACTTCTCCTCAGGCACCATAAGAAATGAAGTGTGTTTGCGTGTGTGCATATGTAGTACATGCATACATATGTTTGAATGTGTGAGTGGGTATATGTTGTACATGTACAACTGAGCCTTACTGTTTGCAAATTCTGGGTTTGTGAATTTGCTTATTCATTAAAATTTGTAATTTCAAAATCAACACATGTAGCACTTTTGTAGTCATTTGCAAACAAGAACAAAGCAGTGAAAGTTTTGAGTCATCCAATATACATGTGTGTTCTTGCTGCAGCTTTCGTAATGCAAATAAGTGTCTATTCTGTGATCTATTTAGTAACTTCTTTTTTTCTTTCTTTCTTTTTTTTGCTTTATTTTGTGACCTATTTAGTAACTTTTTTTGGTGCTTTTTGGGGGGAGTGATGTCACTGTTTAAAATGGTCCATAAGCATAGTGCTATATACTGCTAAGAAGCTGAAATGTATCTTACAGAAAAAAGTACATATGTTTTGTTCAGATACATGCTGCTAGCCATGTGCTCAATGTTAATAAACCAGCAATATAGATTAAATGTCTTCAAACAAAAATGTATATAAAATAAGATTATGTATTTGTCAGCTGATCAAAGTGTTTTGACCATAGGCACACAGAAACTTAGGAGTAAACAGTGTTTTGGTATTCACTAATTCAGTATTTGCAATAACTTCATTGACTATACCTACCAGGAATAGTAAGAACTGAGTGTATATATGTGTGGGCATGTATATGTATGTACAGGTATATAATAATAAATTCCACTTAGGTTCACATAAAAACTTATACACAAATGTTGATAGCAGCATTTTTGATCATAGCTAAAAAGTAGGATATACTCAAATGGTGATCAATAAAATAGATGTGATATATACTCATAGTAGGATATTATTTAGCAATAAAAAGATAGACTATTGATAAATGCTACAGCATAGATGAACCTTGAAAACACTAAACTAAGGGAAAGAAGTCAGGCACAAAAGGCCACATATTGTATGATTTCATTTATATGAAATGGCCATGATAGGCAAATCTTCCACAGAGACATAAAGTAGATTAGTGGTTGCCTAGGGATGTGGGGGGCAGTGGAAATGGAGGTTGATTGCTAATAGATACAGGGTTTCTTTTTGGGGTGATGAAATTGACTATATTTATGAGTGCAGACTCTGTAAATGTACTAAAACCCATGGAATTATACACTTTAAATGGGTGAATTTCATGGTATGAATATCTCAAGGAAGCTGTTATTAAAAACAAAAGTACTTCAAATCTCTAACTCCAATTTTGCCTTCCCTTCTAAACTTCAGAACATAACACAACCTATCATAGGTTGCATGTTGAAAGCTTAAACTCACTGACTTGACATGCACTCACTCTATCATAATTGGCAACACTGGCATTCTGTTACCTTAGGGTCATTTTCTTCTGAATCTCCCTTATTTATTTATTCATTTATTTATTTTTAGAGGTTTTTGCTATAGGGTGTGTCTACTCACCAGAGAGACAGAGATAGACAGAAAGTGAGAAATCACCCCCCGTGGGGATGGCCACGCTGCAATCCCTTCTCCTCCATTCTCCTCTCGGGATTTTGGGCACAAATACATACACCCCCAGGGTGAGTTTTAAGCTGCTGGGTCCAGGATTTGAACTGCAGTGAACTACATGGGAGTCCAGCAACGTAATCATTATGCCATCTGCTGGTCTCAACTCTCTCTTATATTAACTACTATAAAGGCTTTCAGCTTTACCTCTTACATTGCTCTTACATATGAGTCCTCCATGCCCCAGTCTTTTTTAAGGTCCTTAGAATTTCTTGCCAAAATTACTGCAAAAGTCTCCTAAATGATCTCACTGCTTCTGATTGGCTTTTTCTAATAGCTCCTCCACTACTGTCAAAGTTAGTTTTTTGTTGTTTTAGAGCTTTTTGCTATAGGGCAGGTACACTCACCAGAAAGACAGAGAGAGACAAAAAGCAAGAAATCAGCCTCCAGGGGGCATGGCCACACCGCAATCCCTTCTCCTCCATTCTCCTCTCGGGATCTTGGGCATGTACACACATGCACCCGGCTTGAGTTTAAGCTACCGGGTCCAGGACTCAAACCACAGTCGACTACATGGGAGTCCAGTGACATAGCCATTACGCCAACTGCTGGTCCCTCAAAATTAGTTTTTCTAAAGTGCAAACAGAATTATATTAATCTCCTATTTAAAAATCCAAACTCCTTGGTAATCTTATAAAATCTGCAGGACAGCTGGGCAATCTGTCTTCTCTTTCATTATTCTTACAAGAGTACCCGTTTTTTTAGCTAATTTTATGGCGTACTACTTATGTCTGTATACTAGTTTTTTTTTTTTTTCCCCCACAATGTTCTTTTCCTGATATTTCACTTGGCTAACTACTATTTGCTAGTTCCTAAACTGGAAATACTTCTGTGACCCTCAAATTTCTTGTCTCCACAACTAGATGCTAGATAGCTCCTTATCTTCCCACCCATACATTAAGCAAGTTTCACTTACTATCTGAGGGCTTTCATCACTACATCCTTACCCATAGCACATTCTAAGTGCTCAAAACTAGTACAGATGGATATTCTGGTAAACAGCAGAACTGGTGTTTCTCCTCACCTCTAAAATGAGCTAAAAACTAGCATTAAATGACTCATTCTAGATTGACATTAAATCACATATATGTATAAATGCTAGGCAATCCCAATTAAATGATCATATTTAAAGCTATTCAACATTTCCCAATGGTCCCATAACTTAGTGGTTTAGAGAGCTGGATCCTACAGGGCCTACTATAATCTGATTCATGACCCCAGAGGCTTGAAAACCACACCAGGTGCACGTGTGTGCCTCAAATCCTAACAAGATGAAGAAGTGGAGGAGAAAAGATTATGGTGCGACCAAACCCCATTGGGAGGTACTTTCTCCCTCTCCATCCTTCTGGCAAGCACATGTATGCTCTGACAGTTTTTTTTATTTTTTAATCTGTTCAATTTTTATACATATGACTTAATGAGGACCTAGTGACATATCAAACTTCAGACTAGACAACATGTTTTAGGGTCAAAGTGGGATATGACTTACCTTGACAACATCAGCTTTATGTTTTTCTAAAACTTGAAGAGTTTGGGCAGTATTAGAATCAATCACCACCACAAGCGAATGACATCCATAAGCAATTAAACCTTGCCAGCCCCTAACGAAACAATAATGTTAAAATTTAAATTAAAAAAACAAGAAAATAATTTCTCTCTTGCCATCTTGAATAAATGATAAATCTCACTCAGATGTTACACCAATAAAATTATTTTAATGGCCAATATTTAACATTATCTCTTTTAAATAGAAGATCTAGCTAAGCTTAAAGGTGCTTTTTGAAATTTATTTTTTCACTCAGAAAAAAAAAGATTCTAAGAGCTGCGCATAGAGTTGCAAGGATATATAAAGCAACTTCCACAGTTTGACTATCTTTAAGAATACAAGCCTTGTCTTATTTTACTTGATTTTTTAATATCCACAATGTTCCTGGGTTAAGTGTCAGTACTAGTCCCAGTCCTTCCAACCAGATAAAAGACTAACACTGGACAGGAGGTTGCAGTCCTCTTGTCAACATTCCCAGCTACAGCTACAGAATTTTGCTTTACCCTCATCTAATTATTAGTTTTTAGAGCTGTAGGAAAGAAAGAGTGAAACGAGTTGTCCTGTCATTGATAGGCATGTCCAACACTGGAGGAGCCAGAAAAGGTAAGTGAAGACAGGTGAGAGAACACACAGGCGCCTAGCACAGGGTCTAGCACATTGTTAAGTGAATACAGGAATAAACAAAGATGAGAGAGAGAAAGAGAGCGAGAGGAAGGACAGGGAAAGACAAAGACACTGAACCAAAGGTGAAGAGAGACTTCTGGAGTTTGGAGGAGAGGTAGAGACAGGAATGGGATGGTAAAAGAAGATGCAGAGAAAGGTGGTGTAAAACAAATACGGGAAAAGAAGACAGAAGTATTTACACAGGTTAATTTCCCAGAAAGGGTATTTACTACTTTTATAACAACAACAATCTATCATTTAAAGCAAAATCTCATCGTGGAAGGGCGGCACCCTGCCAGCAAGGCCAAAGTAACCAGGGAAAGGGACCTCTTGTTCTCTCCCCACCCCCTCACAAATTCCCGGCCGATCCTAGAAGGCCAGCCCCTCACCAGTCCACTGCCGCCTTGTTGTGGGTGTTGAGGGCCCCGGTGAGTGTTCGCGCGGAAACCTTGAAGTTCACAGGGTAGGGTAACATCGCAACAGCTACTCCGGAGCCTTTGGTGCCGGTCGGCAAGTAGGAAGCGGCGGACACCGAGCGTCCGTCTTAAATAGAGTCCGGGTGACCCTTAGGCGCTGCTATCAGGTTCCGCTGAGTCCAAGGTTCCACTGTCCCTGGGTTCCATTGCCCTGGATCCCGCCACTCCTGCCCAGGTAGTTTTGCTGCGCCGCGCCAGTAAGGGCCCTGCTTGGAAGAAGAGGTTCTGCCTCCAGTCATGCCTCTTTTCTTCGGGGTGGAACTGCGTAAGGGCTCTATGCACTTTTGTAAATCGTTAAAAAAGAAAGAGATAGAAGTCCCGATTAGCCTTTTTTTTTTTTTTTCCCCACCCTCAGTTGGCCTTTCTGCCTCTGACCAGTTCCTTTAGTGCAACTACCTGGGCCTTGCATTGTCTTAGCGTAGGGGGGATTACTGGTGAAGACGGTCTCCACTTTCATGGAGTTTGCACATAATAAATAACTGAATAAGATGAACTGAAAGAAATGGAGAGAATGAATAAAATGACCCAAATATAACCAATTTTCAAACATAGGTAGCATTCCATTTCTGATCTTAAAAATATTCCCTCTGCACTTGTGGAAAAAAGTAGCACAGTGCCGGGACTAAGTGATCCTTTGCCAGTTTGTTAGGTTAGCTTTCATATTGAAAATGAAAATCTCTGCCACTCTCCTTAGAGTCAGGCCCAATCTTTCCCTCCTTTGTTGTCAGCATATTTTTAGGAAACTGTAATACAAGGTAATAAATACAACCCATAAGGCTTAAGAATTCCCCTCAGAAAGGAACTAAGTCCAAGTCTCCCTTTTTCACCAAGTCTTAGCACCCTTTCTGGCATACGATTGGTCCTCAATGAATGATTGATGGTGCAGTTGTTTCAAATGCCCATTATACATGTAAGGTCAAATAGGATTCAGTGCAGAAGCTGGCAGATGGAGGTGGACAGCAGGTACCCAGACCTCCCATTTCCTGGTAAGAAAAAGCCTCTTGAAGGAAGAGAGATTAAACCAAAGGTAAGCTACCTCGAGGATATGAATATTGAATATTCAGGACCAGGACCAGCTGGGGTTGGGACAGCAATATGTTTCTCATGGTACCAGAATGTGCAATTAAGTATGCTAATGGATTTTTATGGCCTTTTCTGAAGCATCTGTCTTGGCCAGTCTGGAAAACAGACTATTGGATGCACTGGATAATTGATCTTTTTAATAGGACAGAATCTATGCCTCTCTTTTATCCCTGAAAAGTTTCCATTTCACCCCATGCCTGATGACAGAAATTCCGACACCTGGTAATGTGGGCTCAGGGTATTCTGCCACTGCTAAATCATTTATCACCCTAAAGACAACACCCCCACCCCCTTTTGTTTTCCTCTTTCTTTTTAAGTTAGTGAAGATAAGGGTAGGTGAATTTCTGCATCCTACTCTGGGTGAGAGAAGCAGAAAAAGGGAATAAAAACAGAAATATATATAACTACTTTATAGGCAAACTTTCCAAGGTCACATCAGAGGGAACATCAGTAAAGGGGTTTGAGCATGGATGGAGATGCTGAGGATGAAGTTGATGAAGTCAGTAGCTTACTATTGAGCATTTGCCAAGTGCCAGGTCCTGTGGTAAACTTTTTATGTGCATCATCTCATTTAATCTACTTAAAGTCACTAGGATAATTTCACAAAGACCTATGACAAAATTAAAGCTCACAGAGTTGCCCAGGGTTGTACAGCCAGGAGAAGGGAGAGCCAGTGTTGGAGTCTGATTCTGAAACTGATGCTTTTGACTTCTGAGAGCACCACATTGCTATCCATGGCGTAATCTGCTTCACAGCCCAGTTGGAATGAGATCCAGCTTCCTGGGAAACATATATAGTTCATTCATTTTATATGTAGTATTTGGTGGGTTTTAGTAGTTTTTAAGAATTCTATAATCATCAATTTTAGGATTAGCAGTCATTCTCCAATTTCTTGCTTCTCTTCCCTCAGCTCTAGGTAACCAGTGACATACGTTCTGCCTCTGTAGATTTGCATATTCTGGATATTTCACATAAATAGAATTATACAACATGTGTTTTTTGGGGGACCTGGCTCCTTCAACTTAAAAAATTTGTCCATGTTGTATATAGAGTTACTGTATTCCTTTTTATTGCTGAATAATATTTCATTGTTTGGGTGTGTGATCCGTTATTTATCCATTCGTCAGATAATGGATATTTGAGTTGTTTCTACTTTCTGGTTATGACTAATAATGCTACGATGACATTCCTTACATATTTTTGAATGAACATGTGTTTTTATTTCTCATGGGCATATACATAATAATATAATTGCTGGCGTATAGGATAACTTTGTATTTAACATTCTGAGGAACTGCCAGCTGTTTTCCAAAGAAGCTGCATCATATTACATTTCTATCAGTAGTTTATGAGAGTTTCAGTTTCTTCATATCCTTACCAACACCTGTAAATATCTGTTTTTGTTTGTTTTTATAAGAGCCATGCTCACACTGAATTTTCTTCTTTGGGCCCTAGGAAGTCATGAAGACATTGTTATGACTTTTGGTAGATTATTCAACCTCTTTTAACCTCCTTTTCTTCTATTATTTCAGGGAA